TAGACATTATCCAAAAACAAGTTACAGATTTAATAGCAGCTATTAAAAGTTATCAGCAATATTAAAACTGACATGTTAAAAAGGTTTTTTACGAGTCTTTATTAAAAAAAGTTTTTTAATATTAATTATTAGGATTATTATTAGCACATTTTCATGAATAAAATTAACTTTATACATAAACATTTTATATATAAACATTTTAAATTGTATTTATATCCATTAAAAATTGTAGACTTTTCTCTTTTCAACGCAATTTTGTTTTTTTTTTTTTCAATAACTGAATACATTTGAAAATGACAGCTGATTAGTTTCCAAGATCCAAAACACAGATAATTAATATAAAGGTTAATAAAGGAAAAAAATTGAAGTAGGAGAAATGTCTACTACAATAATAATCAATAATTTTCAAATAGAGTGTTATCTTAAAATATTACCTGTCCAGATCACGAAGTCTGAAATAATACTTTCCTCCTTGAGGGAGACTAGCGACTATCTACTCTCGCACGGACTGATGGACAAAAATGTTGTCTCCAACTCGATATTATCGGACCATCTCCCTGAGACTTTACGTAAATGGAACCAGTTCTATGTATAATAATAATTATTATTCCGTGTAGTCGCGCGCGATTTATTCGTAATTGCGATGTAATTGCGGAGCGAAAAATTCTGTGAAGGCGACACTTTGCTATCTACTAGCATAATGAATTTCTTTTCTTTCGTAATCAAGAATTCATTGATGAATCCCAAAACTTGCGGCATATTATTCATAATAAACACCGAAGACGCTGCACTGAGCATGAAAAGTGCGACCCTCGAAGGAAAAAGCGGAGTATTTATCTCTCTCGTTGTCCCATAGGAAGCCGAGTGTGGTTTCTACGGATTGACTGGCCTTTTCGATTATTGTAACCGTGACAATAATTTTATGTCTGAAAGAGAAGGAATTTTTTTGTAACATCTGAGGAATTTTTGCAATCATTTGAGCAACACAGTTACATTCAAAACACATTTAATAAACGTTAGAAATTACTTCATCTAAAAAATAAATGTTTTAAATTTTATTCTGTTTTTAAACTATTTAATAAACGTAAAAAGTTTATGAAATATTTGTAACGTTTATTAAACTTTTTTTTACTAGTTTAAATTATTTTTATGCGAGATATTTTTATAATTGTATATTTAATAACGTCTATTTAACGTTTTTATCTAAACGTTTTTTAAATGTAAATCGTCTACGTGGAAATTTATGATATCACTAAATATTTATCGAGTCAAATATATTTAAAAATTCTAGGTAGAATCTAGAAACTTAATATCTACCTCATGTATTATATTATATTAAAATTTTTTAATACAAACTTAAATAAGAAATAAATAGAATATAAACAAAAATAACGTAATTAATTAACAATTAGAGAAAATTATCTAAATATCTAATAACTGATCAGTAATAGCTGTGACTCTTGACGAATTTGTGTTAGGTACTTTATTATAAATCTTTAAATAATTCCTTTTTTATCGATAGTTTGTTTGTGTAAAACTTATAACTATACAACATATAGTAATTTTGTTAAATTTATTTGAAAATCAATACTGACGCACTATTTCTTAAATTACCACGTTCCCAGCAGTTTCTCGGCATTTATAAATATATTTCAATTATTTCGTTGACTAACGATTATGTTAATTTTAAATCAATTTATGTTGATTATGTATCTTTCTTTAATCTTTTTTAAATTAATTTTAAATCAATTTATGCTGATTATGTATCTTTCTTGAATCTTCTACAAATTAATTCCTCCTAATAATTCTTGTAGAAACACATCTCGTTATACACATATACTTATAAATTAAACGTTTGTGGAACTCCCTTTCCCCAGGAATATCATCTTCAAACCATCCAAGATGCAAATCTGTCTCACACCTGTCGAAGTTAAGCTTCTTCACGCGTCGCCGTATCTCCGCGGCAATGTCGCCGCATAATTTTGTGGCCTCCGCATCGTCGTACGCGACCTCGTCCAAACGATTGTTCATCACCGATTTCACGATCTTGTCTACCAGATCGATCTTGAACGGATTCTGCGGCTGCATGTGATAACTGTTTTGATATTTCTGCGCCTGCGACAAAGCAATTGTGCTTCTGCAGTTCAAAACTGTGTTTCAAAACTGACAAATATATATAATAATTGGCTCGCAGTTTGCTTCAATTAAAAACTGTAAAAATTTTATCATACAAATATATTATTAGGTACCAAGATCCGTTTTGATCAAATATCGCCTTGATTCATTTGTGTTGAATATTTTTTGATCTATTTTCGCTTAATATTAAGAAGGTCAAACAATGAGCGATTAATTAAAACAAAATTAAAATTAATTTATTAAAATATCAAGAAAAGATTAACATTAGTTTTTTTTATTAATATATAATGCTAAAAGTTTAATGTTTTAGTAAAATAGATATTTTAATTTTGACCTAATTAATTGTTTGTTGTTTGACCTTTTTATCAATTTTATTATATATATTTGCATTGCGATTTCGAGCTAGAAAATTGAAATTATTTATATTGTTAAATATTGTATTTGCAACTTT